AGAAACCCGACACGTACCGAATACGAATCATGTGTGCCAACCACTGCACAGTGACGTTCGGAAGACATTTAATAACATGTCAGTCGAAGCTGTAAAACGTAAATGGAAAGTCCGTAATGCTGGTGGTCACTTGCTAGTCTCCACAGCAACGACGACGGAACAGATCAGTGGCAGTTGTATAGCAGAATATTTGTATTCTGGAAATACCCAATTCGAATTACCGGAGATGTGTGGGAAATAGTGTTAGTGTCAGGGCTGCACGTTCGAAGAATTGTGACTGCTGGTTAATACGACTGGAATAAATGGCAGAATGAGGTCAGTGCAGGCGGGAAACAGCAGAGCATCAGAAGGAAGACGGCTAACATTACTAACAGAAATAAGTTAATAATCAAGGACAAACGGAGAATGTAGTAACTTGCATGTTCATATAATAAACATAACATCAACCCCCCCTCCCCACAAAATTATTTCTGAACTCCTTTGTTCTTCTGGAGTACTGTAATCCCAACATTACTTTAGTATTCCATTTTTGCAAAATTCAAGAAAAAAGTGTCTGAAGAAAGAAGAAATGTCTGCGAGATAAACAGATCAGAGAAAGCTGAGTGCAAAAAATAAGAATTTTCTTTCTAAGTGAAGTTGCTATTTCTATGGTCCACAAGCAACGCGATCCGTACTTTGAGCTATAAAACAATTATTTAAGAAACAAGTACAAACAGATGGCACTTTCTGTTCCGTCGGATATGGCATCCATTATATGTAACAACAGTTGACAGATTTTCATATAATCCCCTATCAACACAACAGTAATATTTTATGTTCTTATTCTTATATTCCTTGTATTAGCGTTTTCGAAACAACCGGAACATCTCAATGATTACAGTGACCAGACTACGGGATGGGCGGACGGGGCACGATTCCCGGTAAGGAAAGGGATTTTGTTTCTTGACCTCACTGGGGCCCACCCGGCTTTCTAACAAACGGGTGCGGAGAGCTACTTCATTGGGGGGGGGGGGGGTGTGAAGATGGCCCCTTACCTCCAAGCAGCAGAGAGATTACTAATGGGCGTAGCTATACCTCCACTCCCCATTCGACTTCATGACGTGTACAGGAATGCGTCTAATGAATATCAACAGTTCCCGTCACATTTCAAAGTTTTATTGTTTTTAAGTTAAAATGAATGCGTGTGAGACTTGACCTTCGCATTAAGGGAATAACACAAATCAGGGATGTTTGACAACAGGATGAGGAGGAGAACATTTGAGCCGAACAGAGAAGAAGCAATAGAAAAATAAATACATCTAGATGAGTATCATGATTTGTATGCTGTTCTTAGCCAACATCATTAGGACTACGAAATCAACTAGCGAAACGTGGCGCTAAAAGATGCACACAAGGTTTCTGACATACATCCTTAAGGGAAAGGATTACTTGGAAGACCTAAGCATAGATGGGAAGAATATGTTTAAATAGATCTGAAAAAAGCAATGTGGAAGAATGTGAAGTGGATTCATCTGGGCCAAGATAGGTTGCACTGGAGGGGGTATAGTAAACATGGTAACGTACTATCAGACTCCATAAAGGTAAAAAGTTTGTTGAGTAACTGAGCAACTAATAGTTTCTGAGGAGAGGTTCTGTTCTACGTCGTCTTGCGTTATGGAATGCAAAGTTATCAACATTTTAGACATCGTCGCAACGTCATGCATCGGTGTGCCTCACAACGGTGAACGGCACCTCTTACTTCTGGAACAATACACGGCCCAGATGGCTTCTCTTTCCTTTCTGTACTCAGTATACGTGACACCCAAAAACATGAAACGCTTTTGCATTCCTTGCTGGGCACATGCTTTAACCTCTGAGTGTGCTGTATCCAAAGTTCGCTATTGTGTTACACACTATCCAAAGGCTTTTGATTTTGCCTCGACCACTAGTTGCGGCCTGGAAGGCACGATGCAGACACTGATTCTTGTTGTAAATGGTTCTTATCGTTCGGTGAAAAGGATTGGGATTCTCCCGCAACATATTCACACCCCAAACGCAGTCCTGTCTTTTCACAGATATGAAAACATTAAGTTTGAAAGTCCTAATATCATCAAATAAGGAAATTCGCTGAGCACAGCAATTTCCTTGTGTGAGAAAAACGAACATTGTAGAGTTTCTATTATGACTGCCTTACGATATATGCAAAACTGGAGTAATCTGATTTGTTATTAACGACATTGTATCAAGTTCACATGTAACACAAATTTACTAGCACAATACACTAAGCAAAGTGGTCTGAACTTTGATGATCAAAAGGTTTAAGCACCACGACACGAAGGCATAAACGACGAGACCATGAGACTAAAATTAATGGCTCTGAATGTTCAAGAGTTAATGATCAAACTATCCTTCAGTGAAAAAAAATCCACTATCCGTAGCGGTGAAGATAAAACAGAGCAATTTAGGTTATTACATAAAAAGGGGATTCGTGATTTACATAGTCTACCTAAAATTGTAAGGCAGTGAAATCTGGAACGTTGTAATGGACTGGCCATGTAGCTAGAAGAGGAGAGACAAGATGACCACACAGAATTAAGGTCTGGAAAGCTATTAAAAAGGCGAAATGGAAGACAGAAAATGAAAGGATAACAATGAGATGGGCCTAAAAGTAATCTGTTCTGTGAACGGCAGGAGCTCAGAATTATGTCCAATGGTGGGTTAGGTCGATGCTTCAGCTTCAATTACCACAGAGTTAGTTTCGGAAAGCGCCGGGATACGGCGAAAGTGTCACGACCCATCGGCTTTCTCTTGCAATTAATGTAACAGACCCTGGACTTGTATCATGTTAGGAAGACTTTGATAAGCAATCCGACCACCTTCATAACCTTATGAACTTCACCTTCCCCTCATTTTCAGTCATAAAGCTGTTCTGCAATTATATGTCAACACAATACAATTTTATGCAAATCTTCCATCCGATGAAACGTAGGCTAACTAGAACTGAATGCAATTGGTCATAACCGCACAATAAACCAAGAAATTACTTGTCCAATTTTTGTCAATGGATTAATCGGGAAATTAAGAATCTTCAGTAAAATAATAAAATTATAATTACTCATACTTAAGACAATCTTGTAGCCGATTAAGGATAGGATACTAGTATTAATTTCGCGTTATGGCGTTAGACGTGGTCTTCCGAGCTGCGAAGTCGTGTGGACTTGCAGTCTTATTTCTGGTTTAGATCGCATGAAAACAGAATCAGAGTTGTTGATAGATGGCGGTATAGCATAATGACTTATCCTACCACCTGCTGAATTAGAAATCACTTCCTTAACAGTTCAAGTCTGTCAGTCGTTGTCGCTATTAGTCAATGTAACAGAAGCTATAATCTGAATTCGTGTCGTTCAGTAAACAAAGGTTGTACTCTAAGCTGTGGCAACCGGAGTTAAACTCTGAAGCAGCTGACGCCGTGGAAAACACAGCTAAACATCTTATTTCATCTCAGGTCAGCCTACGAGAAGGCAGTCTGGTAAGAGAACAATACTTACAACGCTCACAGAGTTATTCAGATTTGCCCAATCTGAATTTCGGCGACCACACCGGAGATCACGCATTCACAAATCTGCCGAAACGACCAACAAACAAACCAAACAATTACCTACATTCGCTTAACTGAGCAGAGAGCTTGAAAAGCTGATAGGCGTTCAGTTTGTCACATAATTATCCGCATTTTATGAAACCCGAAAGTTCATCACCGTGTTTGCAAAAAGCTCTCCACCGGTCCCTAACATGAGTAAGACAAAACCAGTCTATACCCTTCAACCACATTTCCTCAAAGCACGTTTTAATATTATCAACCTATCTACTTTCTGATATTTCGAGTGGTCTCTTCCTTCAGGCTTCCAACCAAAATGTGTACGTATTTATCATCTACTGCATGTGAACTACATCATCCGCCTATCTCATTCTTCTTGCAGCCCTTGACACCAGGAAAGGGAAATCTGAGTCCAGATTCCTGGTTAGCGACGTCGGTGTTGTGTAGCACCGCATGAAATACGTATTAGTATCTAGGGCCGAAATGAAGCCTCAGAACAGGGTAATAGCTGCGGTAGCAAACGTGAAACTTCAATAACATCGCAGTAACGGCCACAGACACCATAAGCGCTTTATTATAGAACTTCATATAAAGAGGCAAACCGTGTTCCTTGAATAGAAAACAAAATTAAATTTGGTAAACAGTTCTTGTATAGACACTAAATAACAAAATACGCTAATACAGCGCGGAGTTACTGTTTCCTTTATTTAACGACGTTCTCTAATCTGTTTACATTTTACAGCGTCGACTGGGAAAATTTTTGTGTATAAAATAGTAGAATGTACACAGCAGTAGTCGTGCGTGGCCTATTTTAATGTCTTAACCCAAGAATTTGCCTGGAGTAAAACGTGGAATTTCTCAAGCAGGACAGACGATCTTTAGGTTAAGAGAATCAAATGCGAAACCCTTAAAGAAAGACATTACAGTTCATAAGCTGTTCAGAAAAATGATGAATTAGAGTGATATAAATGTGAAGAAACACATTAAAGTATTGTTTCTCAATCTTTCTGTTGCCGTGAACTTCCTTCCCAGAATCATCTCGAAAATGTTGTTAATTAAACAGAATACAGGTAACTTACAATACAGACAACAGCTATAGTTTTGTTCGTAATGTTTTTACTTCAGTGTGGAAGTAATAAATGTGATGAAACGTGCTTGAATGTTACAGGAATAGAGTATTAAAGATAAACGAATACAATCCACTAAGCTCGCGGATCCACGGTTGACAAACACTGCATCAAGAGATGGTAGCACTGGGGAGAGATTCCTGACAGGGACAACTTCCGTTGCACACTGCGGTCAAGATGGATTCTGGGTAATAACGGCTCGAGTTTCATGGAAACGACATTACTGCACGGCGAAAGGGAGGCAGGCAACACGGTCGGCTGGCTGGGTGTGGCGGGCAGTATCTTCTGAGAGTGAAAGTCGATCTGCCGGTATAATAGCGCGTTCCCTGGTGGCATGATGGCACTCAGCCTCCGAGAAGCAGCAACACCGAGTCCCAGAATCCCACAGACATGAAGCTTACGGTACGTACAATGAGAGCTACGTAGTGGGTCCTTATCTGTCCATTAGAAGCTCAAAATCGAAGTTCAACAGATTGGAAGAAAAACGTTTTCATATGAAACATCAAATAAGGTCAATTTAACTCACTTATAATTAATTTCACAGAAAATTAAAACTTTTGCTTGCACCGTCGATACTGAACTCATAGGTTACAACGCTGGGACTTACACAAAGATATCGACGCTTCGAAGAAACGTACTATCTCCATCTTCAGGTCTAAAATTAAAGTAGAGACAGTATGACGATAGCCGAATACCGGTAACTTCTTAATCCATTCTAAAATGACTTCAAAAACTCTTCCAACCCCATACGTACTATTACACTGCATATTTAGACTTCAGAATTATTTTCCTTACAACACTTAATCCACTGATCTGCAGATAATTGTCCTAGACTCTCCTGAGGAAGGAACAATTAAACAACACAAATTTAATTACTTGTTTGTTCACGCTGTGTTATATTCTCACGTATTTTAACTTTCTTGTGATAGGCGTTTCATTACGTCATTGCACCACTTGATTCGCTTGATTTTAAATTCGCAAATACGAACACATCTCTTTGGACTGCATACCAATAACGACGTTATACCAACTGACAAAGTCGAATAAGTTGACAGCAGACTAAATTCTGAGAACTGAACTGAATGAAGACTAAGACGGCTGTCAAGGAAATATGCTGTGAGGATGGAAGTGTGCTCAGTTAATTTTCCTGTTTACAGGCCTGCTTCGTCACACTGACCACGCTGATCAACTTGGTGCTGACCGACGTGGATGAACACATTCTGTTTCGGCACAGACGGGGTATACACGGATATGAGACGCATGAAGAACCAAGTGGCGGTCATGAGTTCGAGCCCATCACGAAGCACGAGGTGGTGAGCCACTTCTCGATACCGTCAGTTAAGGCCGTCAAGGTCTCCGTACCTCATCCCATCCCTGTGGCTGTTCCCCAACCCGTCCCTGTACCAGTCCCTCAGCCTTACGCCGTGCACGTCAGGGTGCCCGAAAGAGTGGAGGTGCCCATCGTGAAGACGGTCCACGTGATAGTGGAGAAACCGTATCCCGTCACTGTGGAGAAGCCAGTGCCCTATCCGGTCGAGAAGCCGTACCACGTGACCATTGAGAAACACGTACCTGTCCCTGTGCCCAAACCCTTCCCAGTGCACTACACTGTATACAAGCACATCTACCACGCCCCGAAAAAACACTACTAAGCGTTATTACCATGGTAATTAAGATGTCCTTCACCAGAATTGGCGGGTTTGTCGTGCACCAATCACAGAAACTATGTCTTGGAAGAAAGTAAAAGGTCGGTGGGGGGACGAAAGGAAACACAGAACATTCAGTGGTGCTAAATGTGACGTTGTGAAACGTTGGTTTCCAGTGATAGCGAATTTTTTGTTAAATTTATGATACAAAATCAATTATGAACCGACAACCGTCCGCGACAGTTAAACACCTGTGATGTATGCGGCCTAGGAAGTCACGTGCTGCATTACTAGCAGAACTAAAAACATCGTGCTTGTTCTCATTAATAAATATGGACAATACTTTATAACACTAGAATTATCATAAAACAATAAAAATAAATAAATAAATAACGATATTACGAACAGCGGAGCACCTGAAAGCAACAAACATTAATTCATAACCAATATTCTCCACTCAGGAATAGGGGGGTTTATGCATGCATGCGCACATCACCTGCCTACCGGGCAGCCTACATCACAGGTGTTAACTTTTGTGTACAGTACGCTGTTTGTAAATATTGAACATAAATTCACGATCTAAGCTGTACAAATCCACGCCTTTCTTCTCCATCAGAAAACAAGGTCACAACATTGTGCTAGGAACAGGTGTGAACTTGCGAAAAACACATTTCATCTGCCGTTATTTCTTTCAGAATGAGCTCCTTTGCACTGATTGGTCACCCACAGACACTCTACCCAACCGCCAAATCTAGTTTAAAAAATATAACTGATTAAGCAACAAACTCCCTGGCGACAGTTTCCCGTCACCCCTCATTCTCTCAACACTTTAATGTTTCGATACAGAAACATTCACATTTCCCGCAACTGAGAGGAGTTTCATGTACCAATACGACGTGGGATAGCGACACTTGATCGGACTTCGTTATTCACAGTCGATATAATCCATTTTAAACCTCTAAGTACTAAATTACTTCCAATAAACCATTTTTAAGTCTTCATACATTGACAAATGACGCCCACCAGGCGTAAACTTCAAAACTGTCACAGTTAGTCCAAAATTGGAAAAAAACTTATTTTAACCACCAGCAGTAGTCGTGCGTGGCCTATTTTAATGTCTTAACCCAAGAATTTGCCTGGAGTAAAACGTGGAATTTCTCAAGCAGGACAGACGATCTTTAGGTTAAGAGAATCAAATGCGAAACCCTTAAAGAAAGACATTACAGTTCATAAGCTGTTCAGAAAAATGATGAATTAGAGTGATATAAATGTGAAGAAACACATTAAAGTATTGTTTCTCAATCTTTCTGTTGCCGTGAACTTCCTTCCCAGAATCATCTCGAAAATGTTGTTAATTAAACAGAATACAGGTAACTTACAATACAGACAACAGCTATAGTTTTGTTCGTAATGTTTTTACTTCAGTGTGGAAGTAATAAATGTGATGAAACGTGCTTGAATGTTACAGGAATAGAGTATTAAAGATAAACGAATACAATCCACTAAGCTCGCGGATCCACGGTTGACAAACACTGCATCAAGAGATGGTAGCACTGGGGAGAGATTCCTGACAGGGACAACTTCCGTTGCACACTGCGGTCAAGATGGATTCTGGGTAATAACGGCTCGAGTTTCATGGAAACGACATTACTGCACGGCGAAAGGGAGGCAGGCAACACGGTCGGCTGGCTGGGTGTGGCGGGCAGTATCTTCTGAGAGTGAAAGTCGATCTGCCGGTATAATAGCGCGTTCCCTGGTGGCATGATGGCACTCAGCCTCCGAGAAGCAGCAACACCGAGTCCCAGAATCCCACAGACATGAAGCTTACGGTACGTACAATGAGAGCTACGTAGTGGGTCCTTATCTGTCCATTAGAAGCTCAAAATCGAAGTTCAACAGATTGGAAGAAAAACGTTTTCATATGAAACATCAAATAAGGTCAATTTAACTCACTTATAATTAATTTCACAGAAAATTAAAACTTTTGCTTGCACCGTCGATACTGAACTCATAGGTTACAACGCTGGGACTTACACAAAGATATCGACGCTTCGAAGAAACGTACTATCTCCATCTTCAGGTCTAAAATTAAAGTAGAGACAGTATGACGATAGCCGAATACCGGTAACTTCTTAATCCATTCTAAAATGACTTCAAAAACTCTTCCAACCCCATACGTACTATTACACTGCATATTTAGACTTCAGAATTATTTTCCTTACAACACTTAATCCACTGATCTGCAGATAATTGTCCTAGACTCTCCTGAGGAAGGAACAATTAAACAACACAAATTTAATTACTTGTTTGTTCACGCTGTGTTATATTCTCACGTATTTTAACTTTCTTGTGATAGGCGTTTCATTACGTCATTGCACCACTTGATTCGCTTGATTTTAAATTCGCAAATACGAACACATCTCTTTGGACTGCATACCAATAACGACGTTATACCAACTGACAAAGTCGAATAAGTTGACAGCAGACTAAATTCTGAGAACTGAACTGAATGAAGACTAAGACGGCTGTCAAGGAAATATGCTGTGAGGATGGAAGTGTGCTCAGTTAATTTTCCTGTTTACAGGCCTGCTTCGTCACACTGACCACGCTGATCAACTTGGTGCTGACCGACGTGGATGAACACATTCTGTTTCGGCACAGACGGGGTATACACGGATATGAGACGCATGAAGAACCAAGTGGCGGTCATGAGTTCGAGCCCATCACGAAGCACGAGGTGGTGAGCCACTTCTCGATACCGTCAGTTAAGGCCGTCAAGGTCTCCGTACCTCATCCCATCCCTGTGGCTGTTCCCCAACCCGTCCCTGTACCAGTCCCTCAGCCTTACGCCGTGCACGTCAGGGTGCCCGAAAGAGTGGAGGTGCCCATCGTGAAGACGGTCCACGTGATAGTGGAGAAACCGTATCCCGTCACTGTGGAGAAGCCAGTGCCCTATCCGGTCGAGAAGCCGTACCACGTGACCATTGAGAAACACGTACCTGTCCCTGTGCCCAAACCCTTCCCAGTGCACTACACTGTATACAAGCACATCTACCACGCCCCGAAAAAACACTACTAAGCGTTATTACCATGGTAATTAAGATGTCCTTCACCAGAATTGGCGGGTTTGTCGTGCACCAATCACAGAAACTATGTCTTGGAAGAAAGTAAAAGGTCGGTGGGGGGACGAAAGGAAACACAGAACATTCAGTGGTGCTAAATGTGACGTTGTGAAACGTTGGTTTCCAGTGATAGCGAATTTTTTGTTAAATTTATGATACAAAATCAATTATGAACCGACAACCGTCCGCGACAGTTAAACACCTGTGATGTATGCGGCCTAGGAAGTCACGTGCTGCATTACTAGCAGAACTAAAAACATCGTGCTTGTTCTCATTAATAAATATGGACAATACTTTATAACACTAGAATTATCATAAAACAATAAAAATAAATAAATAAATAACGATATTACGAACAGCGGAGCACCTGAAAGCAACAAACATTAATTCATAACCAATATTCTCCACTCAGGAATAGGGGGGTTTATGCATGCATGCGCACATCACCTGCCTACCGGGCAGCCTACATCACAGGTGTTAACTTTTGTGTACAGTACGCTGTTTGTAAATATTGAACATAAATTCACGATCTAAGCTGTACAAATCCACGCCTTTCTTCTCCATCAGAAAACAAGGTCACAACATTGTGCTAGGAACAGGTGTGAACTTGCGAAAAACACATTTCATCTGCCGTTATTTCTTTCAGAATGAGCTCCTTTGCACTGATTGGTCACCCACAGACACTCTACCCAACCGCCAAATCTAGTTTAAAAAATATAACTGATTAAGCAACAAACTCCCTGGCGACAGTTTCCCGTCACCCCTCATTCTCTCAACACTTTAATGTTTCGATACAGAAACATTCACATTTCCCGCAACTGAGAGGAGTTTCATGTACCAATACGACGTGGGATAGCGACACTTGATCGGACTTCGTTATTCACAGTCGATATAATCCATTTTAAACCTCTAAGTACTAAATTACTTCCAATAAACCATTTTTAAGTCTTCATACATTGACAAATGACGCCCACCAGGCGTAAACTTCAAAACTGTCACAGTTAGTCCAAAATTGGAAAAAACCTTA